ATTTAGTAAAATTCATTTTTATGTTCTGCTAAAATAACTTTATGATATTTGAATTCAGCATATTTTACATTTAAAACGTATAAATGGAAATACTGTTAAATTTACAAACAAAAAAAAAAAAAAAAATAGTCATAGAACATCCCCTTGTTCGGTAAATACTAAAACTTTTTCTTGCATCAATTATCGGTAGACAAAACGTCATTGGGAAATTTCAGCCAAATTATATTATATGAGATAAATGCCGGAATTCGAATTATATACTATTTTGATACATAGTCAAAATATTACAATTCAAACATTTTGTAGAATTCTTTTTTTTTTTTTTTTACTATATTTTTTCAAATACATTATAATTTAACTTATATGTGGCTGGCTATGAAACTGTTGTTTTTAAGATTATATATTTCATATAATATAAATGCAGTTATTAAATTATTAGAAAATTACATGTAAACTTCTGCCTGACAGACTAATGCTAAATCATTGTGCTGTGAAGTTCCATTTGGCATTTACTAATGGTAAATCATAGTGTTCTTTGTTTTTCCCCTTCTTCTTTTATTTCTGACAATGTGATATAAAAAGCATAAAATGCGTAACTATAATTCTAAAAATAATATTTTTGAAGAATTCTGAATAAAAAATACTTTTTCACCTTTTTGTTTTCCATTTCAGATGTTGAATTTGCTTGCGTATTTCTGCTTGAATAATGGCAATGGAGAAAGTTAAAAAGCATTTATTTTCTTCAAAGACATTGCGAAATATTTAAGGAATGACATAAATGAGCCTCACTATGGATTAAAAAAAAATGCGACAAGCTTCCTACAATGAATTCTTTTATGGCGACCGCCTTCTTAAAATGACCACCTCTTAAAGAGACCACAGTTTCTAACAACATAAAATAAGAGTAGTATTGAATAGAACAAAGAACTTCTCCTCAGAATATCAAAATCCTCTGGAACAGTGATTTATTGCCTTAAAAAGGATATACTATATTTTCGAATCACCAGAAAAAAATAAGTCAAAATGCTAATTAACAACATACATAAATACATAACAACATACATAAATCTCCACACATAACAGACTCTCTGTTGTTCTAAAGCACTCGAAATTCAGCGTATATTAACTATTTTATTCTATTAGATCGTATTTAAAAATTGTTACGCATCTAAGCCCTTGAATCGTTAAAAATGCCTAATTTATGGTATTTCTGAGTTTGGTCTCCATTTCCTTTTATGAGTTACATAAGAACATATATGAACCTAAAATTTTCATAAATTAAGAAATAAACTACTATGTACAGTAGTTTAGTGAAAATTCTCCCCGAATTATACAGAGTAAATAAAGCAAATTAGTAAAATTATTTTTCTAAACTTGTAAATGAATTACGGCATTCCTTCCGAGTATCCGTTTACATTAGAGCTTAAACTGCGCCGGAGCCCTAAATAAAAGGGCTCATGCAACTTTTTATGTAACTGAACCACAATTTTAGCAGATAAATTCTGTTTTAATAGTAAACATGCCTTAAGAATTGATTCTAATTTCTGAATGCAAGCCTGTCTTTCTCTCGCACATTGCACAGAGTTTGAGACTTTTAAGGGAAGAATAGTCCCCCCAGTCATATATCAAAGGCTTATTCTCCAAGATGTACAATGAATTTATGACAGTGGGAAAATTTTGTGTTCCTGAAAGTACTAAAAGTGATACCCTGGTCGTGCACGTTCCACGCTAGTGATTTCTTACTGTAGAGCTCGTGTATGACTTTTTGAATGATGTAACCAAACGGGAGGACCGCTGCTGTTACTTGTACAGAGAAGTCTTACGCACTCATACCTTGCACAGAGTTTGAGACTTTTAAGGGAAGAATAGCCCCGTCATATATCAAAGGCTTATTCTCCAAGATGTACAATGAGTTTATGACAATGGGAAAATTTTGTGTTCCTGAAAGTACTAAAAGTGATACCCTGGTCGTGCACGTTCCACACTAGTGATTTCTTACTGCAGAGCTCATGTAGACATTTTGAATGATGTAACCAAACGGGAGGACCACTGTTGTCAATTGCAGAGAGGAGTATTGCATTCATTCTCACGTTGTTATTGGACCGTATTCAGGAAAAAATTTCTTTTTGACAGTTAAAATTATATCGAGAGGGCATCGCGATCAGAAAGTCTTGAACTCTTCCCTTTTCGTTCAACATCCTCATTACTGTTTCTAGAACTGTCAATACTCTTCTTGGTGACACTTTTATCATTTTTCATTGATGCCCTTCAAAAAGGGAATGGCTTATTTATCTGTAATCTCTTGAAATAGTTCATTAGATGTAAGACGGAGATCAGCTGAGCTGCTTCTTAGTGGAACTGTAATTCCAACCGGAGACCGAAATAAAACGTTTCACTTTTCAAATTGTTCCCACCAAATATTATCGCCCTGTATTATATTTAAAGAAATTAATAATGAAGGATCTGCATAAATGTATGTATGTTTCTTGCATTGTGATAAAACCAGGGCTGTGGAGTCGGAGTCACGGAGTCGGAATCGGAGTCGGGCAGATTTTTGGGGTAAAAGGAGTCGGAGCTGGAGTCGCCAAAAATTGGTCGACTCCAGTTTTCGTTGGATAGTTTGAATTTGAAATGAATTGAAAAAAATTAATGACAAGCTGCGTTATTATTTTTATTTATGGACTGTATACATTAATAAATAGTTATTTTCTATTTTACTGACCTATTAATAAATAAATATAAGGGAGGAGGATGGATGTGATATTTGCCATTAGTGATTAAACTGATTCATTTAGTTACTTCATTTAGTTACAAATCTTATTGGTAAATTTAGGTAAGCAGCAATAGCAGCAAGAACTCCTAAAATTAATGCTATTCTTAGGAAGCGAGCAGGAAAAGGAGCACTTATTGATCAAGCAATGCGATAAAGAAGTACGTACTTGATGATACAGAGGTTTTTAGAATTAAGAACTTTTTTAGAAGATGTCGATAACCCTAATGTTTCACTAACAGAAAGACTGTGGAATGACCTTGCAGAATTGGAAACTCTTCTTTCTATACCGTATATAGCCACAAAAAAGCTGCAGTCTGAAGAACTGACAGGAGGCGAGAATGGGATGTTTGTTCTTTCTGAAATGGAGGGTTTATTGCAGAAGGAATCACTTCTTCAATGAAGAAAAGAGAAACTAGTTTGCTAGACAATGAGATTTTACTGGGTTCAATATTTACGGAGATCCGAAACACCGAATTTTCTTGGATGACGAACAAATTAAAAAGGCAAAGAAAGTCATCTGTGAAATTTCATTAAGAATGAAATTATTCTCAGAACAATTGGAGAATTCGAATCAGGACAGTCAAACTGCAGACATTGCGATTGAGTCTCAATCATTCTTTTCCATTGATGAATTAGATTTTGAGAAATATTTTTGGATAATATTGAAAAGGCTAAGGCAAGGCGAATAAAAATAAAAAACAAGGGCCTTTAAATACAAAAATGAAAAGATACAAACTAGATTTCTACACGGCCTTTGAAGAAAATATAGAAATATGATTGCGCTTGCAAGACACCTCTTTTAAAACTTATAAAAATCTATCCTGAAAAGTTAAAAGAAGTAGCCCTAACAGCTCTTCCTTCTACTCAAGTTAGTGTCGAAAGACTCTTCTCAACTCTAAGTTTATTAAATCGGAGCTATGGCCTCCAACCAAGAAAATATTGCCGAAACTATACTGTTCCTTAGAAAAAATTAATGCCAGTTTTTCCATTTCATAACAAATGCTAATTAATATAAATAATTTGCTATGCCATCAATTTTTTTCTGTAGCATCTATTACTTCTTTTATATTAAAAAAATAAGCTGTAACCCATGCGTATATGTTTACACACACACACACACACACACACACACACACCATATTATTATATATATATATATATATATATATATATATATATATATGTATATGAGGGAGTTGGAGTCGAGATGGAGCAGTACCTATATAGGAGGTACTGGATGGTGTCAGAGTCGGAGTCATTAAAATTCAAGGAGTCGGAGTCAGAGTTGGTCATTTTCCCTACCGACTCCACAGCCCTGTATAAAACAACGGTACCTAGAGACATCAAATTTTGAATAACGTAATCCTCCTGTGAATGTGGGCATCTGGAAGCATAAATTTGAAATTTGGAATTTGTTTTATTATCGATTTCATATTTTGTAAAACGTTAACGAATTTTTGATTAACACACTTATAACATACTTCTACAGCCTTCTTAGCATGCCTTCGTGGTGTAGTGCTCAGAACGCTCGATGCGTATTCGAGAGGTCCGTGGTTCGAGTCCCAGCGAGGACATTGCTCATTTTTCTCTTCTCCTGCTTCCAAAAAAATACCTAATGTAACTACAATGGCGCCCGAACTAAAAGAGGTGGTGGATGATGATTCTCTATCACCCAGGATTTGGCGATTGGGCCCCCTAAAAACCCCAGTCGCCCTTTAAAAGGGGGTGTATATAAGGTATTTCTCCCACCTTCTTGGCGTGCATTCGTGGTGTAGTGGTTCTGCACGCTGGGCCACAGTGGCGCCCGAACTAAAAAAGGTGGCGGATGATGATTCTTTACCACCAGGATTTGGCGATTGAGTCCCCTAATAACCAGCCGCTCTTTAAAAAGGGGAGTGTATAAGGTATTTCTCCCGACTTCTTAGCGTGCCATCATAGTGCAATGGCCAGCACACTCGACGCGTATTCGAGAGGTCCGAGGTTATCTGATAAACAATTATTTCAGATTTTTAATTATTTTACAGTTTTTACCTGTCATCTTAGTAGATTTACACTCTATGATCTAAAATCCAGAACATGTCCAGATCTCAGACTTATACTGAAGGTGCTCTAAAACATTTCACAATGCATATTTTGAGATACCACTGCTCTGTAACAACCACCTTCATAGAAAATTTAGAATAATCTGGAATTATATGTGATGATCTTGGAGAGACTACACTACATATTTAAAATCATATACATATATTTTTATTTTACAGAACAATCTATTCTGAATGAAAGATTTTTATCAACACGAAACACCATATACACATTACACATGGGGCGCAGCCTTATGCTTTGAAGGAAGCACTGTATAGGGATTAATATGGTCCTTCAAAGTGCACTTAAATGTGCCTGGTGCTGATGATGTACTTGCATTATCATTAACAGAAGAAAAAGAGTTTTCTGGAGAATTGAAATAATATATTAATCACTTCAAGAAGTCATCAGTGGATTCATAGTGGCTATTTCAAACATCACTGAGCAGCTAATTTCTGAGTAAACAAAAGAATTACCAATATTACTTTGGTTGCCTACAGCAGGTATATGCTTACAGTATTGCCCACTAGCTCCAAAGTAACACATACAATATGAAGACTGCACCAACACAATACCTTTGTTTATTTCCTTTTTACCAAAAAATCTGTTCTTGTGAATCAAACGATATATTGCACCATCAGTCACAATAAATTTTTTCAGTAGACTTTTAGTGTATCTGCCATAGCTAAAATCCAGGTACCATCTATGCAGATAATTTTCATAGCCTGATAGTCTGCTAACAGAATTATTGAATATGCTTTCACTCACTTCAGTGCGGTATCCTTCAATACTTTAAAACAACTTCAATACAGCTGTTAGTATTGTTACCTTGTATAGGTAACCCAGTTCTAAAGCACCTTGCCCAAAGAGTTTTTTTAGCAAGCAATGTGGGAAAATATGTTCGCATTTTTTTTTTTTTTTTTATTTCTGAAATTTAAGTATTTTCTATAATTAATATTTTTGTTCAAATTCAGTTTCTGCTCACGTCTTTGAAACGAAAGAAAATTTCCTTAAGGTTAGATGTAGGTATCTCAGTTTTAATGTTACATAGCCAGTTCCGCATTGCCTTTAATATGTGGAGCTGCCACAATAAGTACACTGCATATGGCCAGATACTGGTCAGTGCATTGTTTACCTTTAAATACCATCAATCATGAAAACTTTCAAGTCCAGAAACTGCGATATCTGTGTTGACAGGCAAACAGCTTTGGAGAAGTTGTACACCTATAATACATAAAAAACGTATGTTAAAAGCATAAAACCTATGATATTCCATGAAATAACAAAACATCTGATTTATTTTTTTATGTAATGAGCATTAACAAATTTACTACTATTATCAATTCAATTTGATCAATCTCTGATTAACTAATTACAGCACCCACAAACTTGGCAAGCACCCTGCACATGAAATAATTCCATGAAAATTTCTAAAATTCATGGGTTTTCCTCCCCCACACTTGTTTACTGAGTCAGAAGCATTTCTTATGGCGCTGAAGTACAGTATATTTTCTCTTTGTTTTATTTCAAGTTCCAATAACTTTTATAAACAAACTGTGATATTTTTTGCCCTCAACTTAATTTTAAACAACGTATTTGTGGAATCTCATCAGCAGTGGAAGAAACTACACTGAAAATTCAGCATGAATATAGACTTTGGCCGTAAAATCTCTAATGAGAACAAGATGCATTTAGTTAATAGCCAGTACTGTGAAGTTTTGTGCAATGCTGAGTCTCCACAAATTCTGCGATTTTTTTTTAAAACAAAAACAGATCACTGTATATTTGAAGAGAAGAATAGCACAAATTACAGAAAGATTTGGTAAAGAATGTGTATTATTTCTTTAATGTATCTCACAATCCTTATTTAATAATTAAGCCTTTAATCCGGAGGTCCATAATCCGGACTCAAAGCTACAAACTTTCTGTACATGCGTTAATGCATAATGTGTTTACGCATGTGCATAATACCTCTATGCCTGCGCATAATACGTTTACGTATGCGCGTTTAATGTATAACGGACGGTATAAGCTAGGCTAAAATTATCTTTACTGATTATTAAGGCTATTTCAAGTTAATGTTGCAGATTGCGTTGTTCCTTAATCTTCTAATTGGATCCAGCTTATTATTTTTTGCAGACTGTTAGAGCAATTTTATAAAAGTAAGCTTAAACTTTCGATTATATCAAAAAGAATTTCCGATTCTGGAGCTGCGAAAGAATCTACAAAGTGAAAGCATGTTTCGATGTCCATCAAACAAAAAGTGGAATTGCTGCAAAAAATGGATAAAGGCATATCCTTTGTTTCTCTAACCATTCCGAAATCTGTTTATCAATTTCATGCTGCTCTGCGGCAGGGGGGGGGGAACGTCGCGGCGCACAATGAACTGGAAGTTGATCTGTCAGTACTATCCTTATGTTCAGGGTAGATGTTTTTATTTTATTCGGCTTATAATTCCTTACTAAATGTAGTCTTGATGTACTCCGATATGATTTAAATCAATTTCCTCGTCATTATAAATATCACGAATACACATCAAATAGTTTTCTGGTTGCAATTTTCTAATTTCGACTATGCGTAATGTATGCTTAACGCATGCCCACGTTGAGAGAAATGTATAATAAAGTAAACAAATAAATATTAAGCTTTTTTTGTGTTAATTTTGGGTTACAGCCGAAAACATCGCGGCAAAAACATCGCGGACGAAAACATCGCAGAGAAAACAACGCAAGGCGAAAACGTCGTGCTACAAAACATCGTGGGAGAAAACATCGCAAAGAGAAAACATCGCATTCTAAAAACATCGTGTACAAAACATCGTCGTCGAAAATAAAGCGGTTCAAAACTTCGCAGTTTGAAAACAATCGTCGTCGAAAATATCGTGGTAAAAAATAAAGTATCTACAAATCTCGCATGACGATAACTCGCAGACATGCTTTGTCAGCTTTAATAACTGTAAATAGATATTCCCATAATAATTGTGAGCGCAAGATGTAAAGAAGGATAATTTTTACTTTCCCATCTTTTTATTAACTAATAAATTTTTGCTGAAAAAGTAAGAAGGAAGCATAAGCATAGAAAATTAAATGCAACTTATAGATATAATTTTATGAAAATTACCAGTAAAAACTTTATAAAAAATGATTTATAAATGGTCTTTGTTGGTTAACTATGTCGTTTAAAATTCTATTAAGTGCTATAAGTTGCCATTAACTTAAGCATAGTAATTTTTCTATGCTTAAGTTTCCTTCTTATTTCTCAGCAAAAATTTATTAGTTAATATAAAATATGAAAAACAAATTATCCTTATTCTATCTTGCGCTCACAATTATTATGGGAATATCTATTTACAATTATTAAAGTTTGAAAAAAGCATGTCTGCGATATTATCGTCACGCGATGATTTGTAGATACTTTATTTTTTACCACGATATTTTCAACGACGATGTTTTTTAAACTGCGAAGTTTTGAACCGCTTTATTTTCGACGACGATGTTTTGTACCACGATGTTTTAGAACTGCGATGTTTTCTCTTTGCGATGTTTTCTCCCACGATGTTTTGAAGCGCGACGTTTTCGCCTTGCGTTGTTTTCTCTGCGACGTTTTCGTCCGCGATGTTTTTGCCGCGATGTTATCGGCGGACACCTAATTTTGATACCCTTTAGATCATAATTGCTCTTTATTTCATAAATTATGGTTTCATATTTTTAATTGTATAATTTCTGCATGCCATCTTACCAGATTTAAATTCAATTTTTTCATAAACATTCCCCCCTCCATAACGCTCACACACAGATTTTTTATTATTTAATAATACAGATTAGTCAAAGAGAAAGTCTTTGAAAAGATGCAAACTTAATGAAGTCGGCTAAATCAGTCAACAAGAATTGAATTTAAGCACGAATTGCCAGTGTTACATAACTTAAATCATTCAAGAACTAATATGCATTTTTTCTTTAAGTAAGAAGTCATTAAAGCATAATTGGTTTTAAGATAAACTATTATGAACAGTAATGCCTGAAATGTTTGAAATATGTCTTTTTAAGGTAAGTTACTATCACTTACCAGTAGTCAATGGTCTTATCCATTCAGCCAGCTGAAAGATCTTTGATAGCATAAAGTTTTCTTTCTTTTTTTTTTTTTTAACATTATATGATGGCCCTAAAGGGAACGTTTTTCTTGTATAGTACAGAAATGAAAAAATTTTTCCTTAAAAACAACTTGCTATTTGCATATTATTGCAAACACCTAAGTAGAAGTCAACAAATTTTTAAAATGTGCCAAACTTTGGGAACAATATGCATAACCATTCTTGTGGCAGCCATGCTCAAGACAATCCTGCAGTCCAACGTCTTCATTTTTATATTTTCTCTTTGTTTTATTTCAAGTTCCAATAATTTTTATAAACAAACTGTGATATTTTTTGCCCTCAACTTAATTTTAAACAACGTATTTGTGGAATCTCATCAGCAGTGGAAGAAACTACACTGAAAATTCAGCATGAATATAGACTTTGGCCGTAAAATCTCTAATGAGAACAAGATGCATTTAGTTAATAGCCGATACTGTGAAGTTTTGTGCAATGCTGAGTCTCCACAAATTCTGCGATAAAGCAAAAATAGATCACTGTATATTTGAAGAGAAGAATAGCACAAATTACAGAAAGATTTGGTAAAGAATGTGTATTATTTCTTTAATGTATCTCACAATCCTTATTTAATAATTAAAATTTATATTTGAAATTCCTTGTTTTTCATATGGTGATAGCGTATACCAAGATGTATCTATAGTTAGGGAATCTCTTTAAAAAAAGGTGCAAACACCACCAGGTGCACAAGATAAATAACATTTACCCTTTCACTTGTTAAAAAAAAATCGCCAAAGTGTAGCAAGGTGGTTGCGTTAATATATAAATACCAACAACTATTTAGAATGAACATTAAAATTATCTGTAATTAAGCTAGCTATGCATTTCAGTTGGAGATAATTATGTAAATAAACTTTTTATTAAAACTACAAACTAATCTTACCCATTAAGTCAGTTTAAAGACTTTTAATAACATTAGCCATCCCTTTTTTGTAGTATATACTGGCACTGGAAAGGATCTTTTATGTCATTATCAGTAATTAACCATGTATTTTATAACAGATAATAATGTTAATTATATGTAACTAAAATTATAAATTATATTATCCATTCAGACAAGTAAGGATATTTGATAGCATTCAGGTTTCCTTTATGCATTACATACTGGTTCTGAAAAAAGCTTTTGCCTCTTGTATTAAAGAAATCCAAATTTCTGTTCTTCAAAACAACTTTTTCAAAATGAGCTTTAAAATTATCTGCATTTAAGCTGTGCATTTTAGCTACAGATAATTATGCAAATAATTTTAAACTAAAACTACAAACTAGTCTTGCCCAATCAGCCCTTTTCAGATATTTGGTAGAATTAAGCATTGCTATTTGCATTACATAATGGCCCTTAAAAGGGCCTTTCATTTAGTTATCTGTAATTAAACATTTAATTTAATTAGAGATAATTAAGAACTTTCATTAATGTTGATTAAGGTGAAGATTTGGATGGTTATTCAACAGGTTATAAGAAATGCACACTTAAACTAATATATAATTTCAAAAAATCTAGCCTGACAATATCACTTTTATCATCATTAACCCAATTTTCCTGAAGACAGAATCCAGTTTAACTGCTACCAGAATCCCAAAGCCTTACTTAGACATCTCTCAACACAATCTGTAGTATTATTTGTAGCAATATCATCCTTAATATTTATATCAAGGGTCGATTTTACAATTAGATAAAAGATGGAAAATATAAAAACACCTGTCATACTCATCAGCAAAGAAATAATAGATCACTAATATATTTTTGAGTCTTATATTTCAAGCAAAATATTTTTTAATGTTAAATAAATATATCTTATAAATAAACATACAGTAAAACCTCTCTTGATAATCACATATGATAGCTGACTACTATTTCTGAGAATAAATATGAATACTAAACATTGCTTCTTTGAGGCAACAACATTCACAGAAGACAAAATCATCTGAAACCACCGATACCCTTTTAGACTGGTTTCACAGTATTCATTTATAGACAATGTATAGTGTCTAAATTTGCTCTGGCCTGGGATATCAAGTACTTTTGCAATGGCTATGTTTGCATGCAATACAGTCAAAAGTCGTTAATTCGGACACCCATAATCCGGAATGATCTATAATCCGGACCTCAAATCTACAAACTTTCTGCGTATGCGTCGCGTAGACGCATGCGTGTAAGACCTTTACGGCTGCGAATATGCGTGTGCGCAAGATACGTTTACGAGTGCGCGTTAATGTATAACGGACGGTATAAGCTAAGCTAAAATTATCTAATTATCTATTTCAGTTAATGTTGCAGATTGCGTTGTTCCTTAATCTTCGAATTGGATCCGGCTTATTATTTTTTGCAGATTGTTAGAGCAATTTTATAAAAGTAAGCTTGAACTTTCGATTATGTCAAATAGAATTTCTGATATATATTTACTAATATGTAAAGGATCTACAAAGCGAAAGTATGTTTCGAAGTCCATTAAACAAAAAGTGGAATTGCTGCAAAAAATGGATAAAGGCATATCCTTTGTTTATCTAAACATTTAACGTTTGTTTATCTTTAACGCAGCGGCGCGCAATGAATTGGAAGTTGATCTGTCAGCACTATCCTTATCTTCAGGGCAGATGTTTTTATTTTATTTGGCTTATAATTCCTTACTAAATGTAGTATTTCATCTCGATGTACTCCGTCTTTGATATGATTTAAATCAAATTCCTCGTCATTATAATTCGCTTCCGATAGCGAAGAAAGTGACACAGAGTTTATTGAAAACGAAAAAATTTCGATTGACAAATTAGTCGGTAGACACAGCAATTATAGGACTTGAACAGCGGAACTTTGTAACTGAACAAGAAATTATGTCTGTTTATAGAATTAAAGAGAATGTATTATCACATAAAAAACGAAGCAACTTAAACAACTTACATTGAAAGAAATGTTTAATAAAGTAAACAAATAAATATTAAGCTTTTTTTTTTTGTAAATTTTGATACCCTTTAGATCATAATTGTTCTTTATTCCATAAATTACGGTTTCATATTTTTAATTTTATAATTTCTGCATGCCATCTTACCAGATTTAAGCTGATGATCTATAATCCAGAAAAATCGATAATCCGGAATCGCCGAAGTCCCGACGAGTCCAGATTAACGACTTTTGACTGTACTATAAGAACAACATCATTTGATTTGTTACTCCATTACAGGAAATTAGAAAAACTATTATGTTTTTCTAACTTCCTGTAGAAATACTACTGCATTCCAATATAGGACACTTAGACAGTTATGGGCTTTCATAAAGCACAAAAAGAGAGGGATGCTCAATATAATGCAACTTCAGCTGTACTTCACTGAATGGTATATTTTCAGCGAGACCACTCTACACTGCCCAGGATGAAGGCAATCTACTTTACATCCCTTTTCAGATTGTAACAACAGAATAACTATTAGAAATAATTAAATAAATCATACATGTTTTAAATACTTCTTTCTCGACATCAATTATAATACATCCAAATGGTGCTCCACCAACAACACCTGGTGATATAAAAAATACACGATAATTCAAAACACAATAAGCCTAGAAGTATCAACTAAAAATAACTATTTAACTAGAGGGAGAAGTGTTGCCATTCATTGCATAATTGGCATACATATTCCAACTGCAATATTATCATTTACTGTTTTGACAGCTAATTTTCCAGCAGAAACACTTGAATAATTGCCATAGAAAGCTTTTAAATCTGATTTGATGTCCTTTCCAGATTTTGCTCCATAAAGAGCTGCAAATTCATGATTAAATAAATACACAGTGTGAAGAGATACTTAAGAAAATATGATCTCTGCATTATGACATGAATGTTTTAATTAACACATCAACTTATTTATAAGTAAAGAATTTATGAAAATTATGCTGATTCATATTGCCTTAGTATCTCCAACTATCCAGTTTGTGTTAAATATGCAATTATTAACTTGATTTCAAATTACAGTCTAATGAAGAATCTTTTATTTTGATGCTTAATTTTAAAATGCAGTAAGAAACTGTGGAGAAAGTGCAGAATCGCCCACTGCTTGGCGCATTTTTAAGAATTGCACATACGGTGTATCCATGTACACGTCGACCTATTTTCACTTAAAAAGTCAAAGAAAATTGACAAAAATCCAATTCTTCTTACTCTTGTAAAAAGTGCCAAACAAATAAGTGGGCGACTCTGCACTTTAGCAGAAACTGTTACAGCAGGAATGAAATACTTCCAACGCATATTATACTGGTTTTTATTAACATAAAACGTTCAGCAATAACGAATAGAATATGTGTGAGACAGGAAGAATGCGTGGATTCAATACTTAATTATATAGATCTCATATCTGAATGAAATAAACTAGCTCAAAAAATACATATTCAACAAATATTATTATACGAACCTTTGCACTATAATTTTCCGGACTGCTAGGCAACTCGTAATTTTTGAAATCTTCAGATTCTTAATTCGTTTATGAGAATCGGTATTATGCTGGCGGTGAAAATCTGCGACAGATGTTATATTTGCTGGTACATTTGAAAGTGCAAGCCGTTTTCCAAATTACACCAGGGGCAGCTTTTGGTATGAATCAATCCATAACTGAAATAAAAAATATTTATGAAATAAGACATCAATCCTTTTTTATTACATAAAAATTCTGCGTTTCTGTAACAAATGAGTACAGAAATGCATCTCCCTCCAAATCTCTCAAAAAAAAGCAACTTCCCAAATCATTAAAGAATTACACTCAATAATGCATACTTCATCCCTTACTTCAGCAATTCTAAAAGCGTAAGAAGCGTAAGTAAGAAATATCATTATGAAAATCAGTTTTAACAATTTTATATGAATAATTTTGATTCAGATTTTGCTTCTTCATTATAATTTTCGCTACATGAAACTGGCGCCAACAACAGAAAGAAGCAATACCACAACGTTCAGATCTGGAGTGTTAAGCTGGTGCTGCCACCTAGTGACACTTTTTCAAGTTAATTGTTTTTTAGCAGTTTTAATGCGTAATAACGAGATGGTCAATTTTGTTGTGGTGGAAACTGCTCCTTAAAAATAACTTTTTATTTATTCTTTTCAACACTGAAAATGCGAGTTAAGCACTTGCGTTTTAAACAGACATCAATAAGAATACTTTTTATATTGCTCCTACTTTAAAAAAAGGAGACTTTTAGTTCATCGTTACACGTACATATTTTTAACTGAAAATAGTTCTTGATTTAGTATTATTAAAAACTGCTTAGTTTCATCAATCACCAGGGTTGTAAAATAATAACATTTTTTAATAGCATGTTTACCCCAAACGGCGTTAGCCCATAATTTCGTTCTCGCATTATGTGTTAGTTCACTATAAATGTAGGTTCACTTTTCCGAATTGTTGCCACCAAATATTAGAGCCCTATGTTATATTTAAAGAAATTAAATAATGAAGAATCTGCATGAATATATGTATGTTTCTCGCACTGTGATAAAGCAACGGTACCTGGAGCCATTAAATTTTGAATTGCGTAATCCTCCTCCAAATATGGGTATCTGGAAGTCCTAATTTGGAATTTGAAATTTGTTTTATTATCTATTTCATATTTCGTAAAACTTTAACGAGTTTTTGATTAACAAACTCAAAGCTAGCAATGGCAACACTGTACAAGGCGGAAAAAAAATTCTCTCCAGCGCGCGAGACTGTGTACCGGAAATTCTAAAGATATGCTCTTTTTAAAATTATTTTGCAATATTGCTGTTGAACTTAATTTTATGATTTAACTGCAAATAGCATGATATTTAATAAATAAAGGTAACACCCAAAACGTTAAAAAAAAACGCCCCTTTGTGCCTAATGTAAAATCTGAAAGCATTCAGATTTTCCCCACTCCTTGGATTTGTCTCAACCAAAATCTTTCATTAAAAAAAATATATTAATGTACTTAATATGTCTCAACCTGAATTTTCAGAGTAACCACAAAGAATATTAAAACTATTAATAATGAAACCTTCTTTACTTCGTACAATCTTAGTGTCAGAATGTTAAATTTCGTTAGATTTCTCGCCCATCCGGTTTGCCCATTCTTCACTTCTTGTTCGTAAACTTCGTGTGATCAGATAATAAATATATCTCTTCCTTTAAAAGAGCAAAATTATTTCTTATAACGAAAATTAAGCCAAATGAAAGTAAAACGAATTATAAACTAACACCAGTCCATACAGATTTCTTGTAGAGATTTACTAGTAGTATTTATTCATTGTAAAATATTTTCACACAACTATCAAGACTGTTTTTTTTTTTTTAAATTTATTTAAATGAAAATGATCGGCTAATAATGAGCTCTTAGATTTAAAAGTAAAATTTTTACTAGGAGCAATGACTGTTCAAGTATTGTTTTTAACTTGTTTAGATCTATGTTTCAAAGTTGATATTGTGTCATTTTTCATAGACCACCGCTTTTCATCTTGTCTTCTACTTATTAACGTATCTGGCCTTCTAATACTCAGAAGCATATCTTATTTTCTTGTTAAAAAAGTGCTTATATATGCGCTGAATGAAATAAAATTAATGCGTGTGGGAAAAAATAATTTGTTTAAACCACAGCTGAAGTGAATTTCAGTGTGATTGTTTTATAATCAGATTAACTTAAAAGTGATGTAAACATGATAATTTTTTTCTTGAAAAACCTAACTCTGGAAAAAAAAAAAAAAAAAAATAGAAGAAAAAGTAAAATCTGAAGGATTTCAGATTTTACATTACGCCCAAACGGGTATAAATTAAAGTAGCTCACAAATGTTTTGTGAGCTACTTTAATTTATTAAATATAATGTTCTTCGCATTTGCCGCTCGATGGAAGACACTGCGTCACAGCAAGATAGTGCGCGTTCTTTGGATAAATTTTTGTGCTTTCTTCGAAACGAAGTGCAAAGTGAGGAAATAATTAAGCTCGTTCGCACCGGGTGGGGAGCTTCACGTTCTGCACATTCGCCTTCACATGCTGATAGTCAGTGTTGCTAGGTCGATATCTTTATTTAAACTATTTGCTCCCATAGATTCAGAAGCAGTATCGCATGAGTATATCTTTAGAATTTCCGATACACAGTCTCGAGCGATGGAGATAAAAATATTCTTTGATTCTTCCGTACAGTATTGCCATTGCACGCTTTGAAATCGTTGAGTTTGTTAGTCAGAAATTCGTTAAAGTGTTACAAAATATGAAATCTATAATAAAACAAATTTCAAATTCCAAATTCGGGCTTCCAGATGCCCATATTCGGTGGAGGATTACGTGATTCAAAATTTGATGGCTCTAGGTACCCTTGCTTTATCACAATGCGAGAAACATACATGCATTCATGCAGATTCTCCATTATTTTAATTTCTTTAAATATAACACAGGGCTCTAATATTGAGTGGCAACAATTTGAAAAGTGAACCGACATTTACAGTGAACAAACGCAAAATGCCAAAACGAAATTAATAGCCCTTCTGGGCTAACGGTCTTTCGGCTAAAGAAGAAAAAAAAAGAAAAAGAAATAAATAAAATGAATCACTTCTGGAAAGAACCTAGTAAATGTAAACACCGCCAACTATTATAGCGGTATAGTTCTTTGGAATGACTTTTAAATTCCAAAACTTAAAGAGAACCCATGTGTTCTCAATGAGATTTTTGGTTGAACATCCTGCATCAGTGCAATCATGTATTCTTGCATCATAATATCAAGATCAAGTACATCGCAAATCATCGGCTCAATGAACTGGTATATTCAAATTTTCAATATCTTGGAAACGAGCATTAAAATCCGCTTTTGAATTTTGCAAGTAGTTTGTACGTATATAACAATATGGCTTCTAAGAAAATACAATCCTTTTCAATAACTGAAAAATCCATTAAATTATCAAAATAATGGAATTCGTTTCGATTCGTTGTCGATATAAGTAAGTCAGTTTCAGAAAAAAAACAGAACATAATCGTTGTAGCTTTCTTCCTTGCGCTTTGTTTTGTACGGCACTGAACAATGAATATATGTCAGCCAAGTAGAATGTATGCTTTCTGAAATTTATTAATTGTATCACTGTAAGGCTGTTAAGGTCAGGAAAAAAATTCTGTTATGGCGTTAAAATTATCTTAATCAATTGCCGGTGTATATTTGGTTAAAACATTCAAACCTTCGGCTGAAATATTCTACAACTAATTTCCATTCTGGAAAGAACTACGGAGAGAAGAAGCCTATAGTAAAGTTGTAGATCATAATAATTGGTTAAATAACATAAAATCCATCAAAATAACCAAAGCTAAATTATACCAATAAAATTTAAATAATTAAGATGAAGTTCATAATGGTAAAAATTTGAATTAAAAAATAAGTAATAGAAAATTATGTAGATAAATCTAAAATAAGAAATATGAATTTTAATCAAAGCACAGGATTCTAAAAAACTGTATGACTATCTTTTGAGTAATTAGTCGCAGACCTCGTCTGCATAGTTAAGAAATAAATGTAGTAACCGAGGTACTTAGATTTCTTACATGCAGAAATTATGATCATGTGATTCCTTTTCATTAAAGCCTGCAATACTCGAATTTGAGTGCAGGCCCTATTCAAAGAAACTCCATTTAATTTGGATAACCGCTAAGTTCATTCGACGACAAAAAATTATGTATATGTATGTGAAGAGTCGGCAATATGTAAAATTGACTGTGAAAATGCTGTCAGATTAATATAATTAAAACCACAATTTAACCAAAAAAGAGATGCGATTAATATTTTTCTAACGTAAAAAGCATCTTTCAAAATACCCATCTGAAAACTTAATTCTTAATGCTTAATAATTGAAAATAAAAACTTCTATACAGTCTCCAAGATTTTAAATTGGAGACAAATTAGATAATTGTTACGGTAATCACGGAAAACATTATGGAGAAAATAACCCAAGGCGAAAACGTCGTCGTAAAGAAAGCTAGGAGAAAATTTCCTGTTCTGAAACATCGTGGTACAAAACATCTTCGTCGAAAATAAAGCAGTTCAAAAACTTCGCAGATTTAAAATATCATCGTCGAAAATATTGAGGTAAAAAATAAAGCATTTACAAATCTTCGATGGATAGTAACTTCGCAGGCATGGCGTTTTTCAGGCTTTGAGCATAGGAAAGTTTTTATTTGTGGTTAAGGAAAAGATTTTGAAGTTATTAAAACACTTGGGATCTCTAGAGTTACATAATGTAAAAAAACAAAACTGAAAAAAATTTATTTATTTATATATTTTATTTTTTAATTATTCGTCAGATTCAAAAAGAATAAATAAAAAGCGTCTGAAGGGTACTCTTCCACTGATCTAAATTTGGAAATATAAAAGATGCCGTTCATAAGTACGAAAACGCCTATGCAGTCAGGTCGTTCGCCAGGATTCGAACTCTGGACCGAACTACCAGTGTTAAGCGACTACCAGTGTTAAACTACCAGTGTTAAGATGGGCGTTTACATTTTCAGAAAGGAGCGAAAGAAAAGAATTGTGAATGAAAATGGATATATATTTTTTCGTTTTCCTTGCGGATTTGTCTTAGAGACAAGATTGGAGTTCTTTATTAATAATAATCGGTGTCATTATCTTCTGGTAAACACCAGTGTTACAGCCTTCAATACTAAATTTTAAACAACTTCTTCCGCACAGTAAAACTAAATTAAAACTTAATGTTGCATTATAATACTGAATTAAACAACATGTTACTAATATAAACCCCATCCTTTTATGCTAGATTTAAAATCATTTACTATTTAACGCATTTCTATTATATTGTTACCAATTTGTATATATGTAAATAATTTTAGCTAAATTGCATGTAAAATTGCAGCATCTCCCGCATAATGTAACTCAAGGCCTCAAGAGCGTAAAGCTCTGCCGGAAAAATAAGGTTACACG